CATGGGGTCCAGGTCCAGGAAAAAGATGAAGCATAAACAGGGAAGGAAAACAACAAGCCATTTGGCTGTGAATGCATATTAACACCTGTTCTTGAAACCAGAGTTTCAAATGGAAAAACAGAAAAGATCCCTTTCTTTTAAGCTTTGTTCTTTATGTATCATCATATAACGTTCTGGAATGCTGCAATTTCTCAGGCAGACAGAAAAAAGTAGCCGATACTATGGGAGGAGCTCTATGCTACTTAATAGGAGTGAACACATGCTGTTTAATATACCTTGGCTGTAAACGTCTTCCTCATATACACAACTTAAGGGTTAGATTGTCAGTTCTTGGTCACACATGCTGTGGATGGAGCATCACTGGGCAGGGGTGTCTGGTGCAGTGTGGGGCAGCTCTAACCCATTAGAAAATGCTGTGCTTGTGTTGTCACCGTGCTTCGGCCCACGTCCTGAGCATGCGAAAGGATGAGGGCACTGAAGCACTCTTTTCCCAGCTGTGTCTTGGTGTGAAGGAGCCAGAGCTGGGGAAAACTCTGTACCACTGTATTTATTAATCTTGCATACCTTGACATCCATTACACTGAATTTCATCCAGTGATGATCCATGTATACAAGAATGTGAAAAACTATGATTTCAGTTCCAGCTGAATAATGCTGGCAAAGTGCAAAAGATGGCTTAAAAGATTACTGTGACTGTTAATGCAGACATGGCTCTTAGAGACTGTTCAGCAGTCTCTGCCTCTCTTTTGATAAATTTATATATTTGTGGGTGCACGTACACATACATATATTAATATATATCTATAATTTAAACGATAAGTTCAGAATTGGGCCACTTTGACTGTACCATTCTGTTCCTGCTTCTGTACTACACCTATCCCCACAATATGTGAATGCCTTCCAATAATGACTAAGTTCATGACTATGTTCATTTTTCTCTGTTCCACTGTGGAGGGGCAGAAGAGCATGCAAGGAAGGGGTATTTTTTATTTGCTTTTCCTGGATTTTTAGTTATATGCATGTACATCGTTGCATCCTTATATAAGTTAGAGTATTCACAGTCCAAGGGATGCTCTCTATATTTGCACTGACCCTCCATCAATGTTCACTGAATTGCTCTGGCCAGAAGTTTTACCTCCCAGACATAAAGCAAAATTTTGCTTATGTGGAGAATCTAGAGTCTTGTCAGTAAAAGTTTATACATGTTCTGGAACTAAAATCTTTACATTCCAGATATAACTGGACTAGGTAATTATTTTATTCCTGTTTTTCTTTTCTTCTCTTCGTTCCTTATAATTTTATTTTCTTCTTATTTTGCTATGCAGCTGATAGCTTTGGTCCAATGCAACATGGTATTGTGCAGGGGCTTATCAGGGAAGCTAAATTTCTTTATACAAAAGCAGAATTAACTCTCACTATTGTGGTTGTGTGTTCTAACTGAAATTACTCTGAAAGGGAGGAAAGGACATTCTTTGAGCTATTATTGTTTTATAAAGTAACTTTAAGGATGTTCTGAGCTGTGTCTTTGTTTATCTTTGGTATCTTCAGGACTTGCTTGTATCCCTGCCATTGTGCTCTACTTTTGTTACTTGAATGCCATGCCTACATAAGCTATACACTTATAACCTGAGCAGCAACAAGGTAGACTTGGCCACACAAAACTGAGTTCTTCACCAGGAGAAATACACAGCCTCTGCACAAGCCAGGGGTCAAGGCACTGAGCTGAGACTTGCGAGTGTCCATCACTCTGTAAGCAGGCAATATGCAGGACACTGTGCAAGGATCTGCTGGGAGTCCTCCACCCTACACTTTTGTATGCCACGCTTAAAAAAAGCCCAGAGAGCTGCACAGCAAGGCTTTGCATAACAGCATGCCCCAGGTTGTGTGCAGGTGCTGAGGGACAGTTGCCAATCATTATTTGGAAATGAGTGTTTATTCTCCGGAGTCCTCCTGCATTTGCTGCTTAGCACATACTGCTATCCATCTGCTGAGCTGGACGCTACAGCTCCTAGCATCATCTTCCTTTTCCCTGCTTCTGGGCTGCAGAAAATGCAGTGTTGTCCTCACTTCCCACACGGCTGCCAGCTGCATCTCTGCTTCACTCGCAGCACAAGTTGGAGAAGGATTTCTATTTGGTAAGTGCCGAGGCCCAGCTGCCAGTGAGCCACAGCCTCCTCCAGCCTGGGACTCCCTGCTGATCTGAGCCCCTTCCAAAAACTTTTTGGTTGCTGCTTTTATCCTGCTCTAGTACCATACAGCTTTTCAGAGCACTTCACTTTATTCACCAAGGCATGGGGTCCTTGCAAAGGGGATGCTGGGCAGTTTTTGTCACTCCTCTCCACATGCCCAACAGCCTGCTCGCTCGTGAGGACAGAGCCCTTGGTACACTTCTTCTGAAGCACACACTATATCACAAACTTTTGCCTTGATGCTCTTTTGCATTCAAAAGTTTGATTACGGTGTATCCATGTCTTTACAACATGATTGCAAAATGCAAAGTACAAACTTCAGCTAACAAACCAGCACTGGGCTCATAAAGTGCAATCTACTGTGTCGTCCACAAAATTGCAAGCAAAAGTGTTGGAAATGATGGGAAATCTGTTCTATTTTGGAGTGAATCTTTCTGAACCTGTAAAAAACCCTGTTGTTGTGCAAAGGCAGGACATTGTTAGCCATTTAACAGCCATCAGATCCTCAGCCTAGCTCTCAAATATTACACTTTAATTGGCTAATACTATAATCTGCCTCTAAAGGAAAAGTTTTGCTAAGTTCAAATACTTCAAAATGATGGCAAGGTTCCCCCTTTTGTTCTTGAAGGAGTTTGCTAATATGTTGAACATTTTAAAAACTTAAAGCTTAGGATTTCAACAGAAAAGAGCATCAGTAATTTTCTACCTAGTTTATAACCGCAGATCTGGAACTGGCCCACCTCCAGTAGTGTTTGGGTGTGTTCATATTTTTCAGTCATGGTAAGACACTGGTGTTGCACTCCCAAGTCTGAATTATGGCAGATGCCACCGGGATGTGATTTTTCAGGCAAAAACAATGCATGTAACACTCCTTTCTTCAATTACATGCATACACCCTAGTGCTGCTCTTCCTTCTGTATAGTACTGTCATACATAAGCCAGGCATATTACTTTACTGAGTCACGTATTGCTAATTCATTCAGCACAGACATCCTGATTGTTTCATATTGAGCATAATAAAAGAAAACTAAGCAAAAACAACTGAAGCCCCAGAGTGTTTATGCACAAGACTGAGCTGCCACCGAGATCCTCCTGTCACAGAGAGGTCTCCAGTTGCATGGCATCAATTCATATTTATGATATGTTATGGTATAATTTAGCAAAGAATAACTTTAAGAATCAGCTGGGACTACTTTTGAGCTCAACAAACCACGTCTCAGATGAAGATATTTCTGCTCAAGCACTTGTAGATGCACAATGACTGTGCAGCTGGCTCCACTTCTGCAGATTAGAAGCAACTATCCCAAATGAAGGAGGAAATGTTACAGAAATCCAACCTCTCCCATCAAACCTCTGCACCAACCGAACTCGGATGGTTTCACCGCTGTAACCAGGGGAAGAGACCTGTGTCTGAGAAATGCATTTCTTCTGCAGTCACCTCACAGGAGATAAGAAAGACAGTAAAAAGTGAAACAGGTGGATGTACCTATCACCTTCTCCAAAGTGATTAGTCTTACTGTACTTGTTTTCAAGGGAAAATCTGCAAAAGTGTCTTGTTGGCCTGTTCACAGCTGCAATGCCCCCACCAGCTGTTTCAGCTGACCTCAGAGTGTGTCACCGGGGAAAAGGATGGATGCATGTACTTTGAATTTCAACCGCGCTTAATTAGTAAACCTTTTTGTACAAGTTCAAAGAGTCATAAGAAATGGATAAAAAATCTCAAGTACAATACATTCATTAGCATGCATTCTCACCTAGTAAAGACAGTATCTTTAATCTTCCTTTTTGTATTAATGTAGATTACATTTCATTTTTCAAACCTACCATAAGAATAACATTGTATTACCCTTTAATTTCATCAGGAAATGCAGCTACTGAATGTTTTATTAATGACTTGCTTTTTCAGTAGCTGGTATATTTTTTCAAGGCAAGTTGTCCAAGGCCTAACTTAACATAAAAACAATTAAAGCAAAAGAGGAATGTTGAGTGTATTAGGGTGTTAGGTAACTATCAGTATTAAAAAGTTTAACAGACACAAATGACATTGTACATCAGGATTTTTTTGCCATTTCTGCAATATATCAATAACATTATGAAATTCACATGCTATCAAAGTGGTAACAAACAAATGTAAATGGTCATACATACTGATGCATGTTAGTTTTTGAATTCCTATCAGTTATGTTCAATAAAAAAATCAAGATAGCTGAAGAGCCTGACCTTAATTTTGCAAGCTGATCCATGCACACAGCTTTTAACTTAAGACACAGGAGCTCTGGGTAGATGCAAGATCTGCGCTGGTGGATCACTTTACAAGAGAGGTCCTTTGTTAGGAAAATCTGGACTAATTATGATGACAAGTGGGAACTGGTTACTCATGAGGTTAAACTATCTGCGAAGCAACTAGATTATACTGCTTGCTCCCAGACCTTGTATAAGTGTTTCCCCAGAGCAACATCAAGTTGTGGAATAGCTTCTTTCAAGCATTTACAACTTGTATAATTGCAGATTATTCCCTTAGGCCCTATAAAAATGTCTTCTAGCTGCACAGTTTAGAAATTAATGAATAAATACAATGGTATTTCAAAAATTTGCATCTACTCTAATCCTCTTTTAGTCTATCCTTTTGTTTTGCTAACACTTTACTAGAGAATGAAATGGCAGAAATCTGAGTAATTTTGTTTGTCATTAAAATACTGTATATAAACAGCAAAAGTCAGAATAAGGCATTCTCCACACAAGCTTGAGGAACGTACATTTTCATGCTCAGTGGAACTAACATTTCAATTGCTTCCCAGAAGTAGTGGAATGTTTTTTGCATATAAATCCCCAAATACTTTTTGAATTTTACAGATAAAAAGCATTATTTCGTACATGAGTTTTAAAAGCATTGGCTTGGTATTTCCTTCCATTTCATCTGCTGCAGAACTATGAATCTGGAAGGAAGCAGTTCAAAGACACTCACAACATACAGAAGACGCTTACTTCCATAAAAACAAATTAAATAGTATTTTGTTTCAAATGCCATCTAGAAACACTGGATAGATGTATATGAAATATATGCATTATGGTAGGTAGTTATTCATCCCCATGTTTTCACCTGCCGGTATTACTGCAAATAACACTGTTTCCATGACATGCCTTATGGAACAGTTTACTATTTTCATAAGCAGTCACATGCATTGAAGGTAGGATCACCAGCCAGTGCATTTGGCACCCCAAAGCAGAACCAGAGAGGCCAAGCTTACGAATCTCTCTTGCTGAATGACAAGTTAGCTGGTGTATGAAATGACAGATCTCAGCTGAAACAAGGAAGCACGTTGACCTAAGACATTTCTTCTGGAGCTGCTTCAGCTTCCTGAGTGGGTTTCTCTTCGGGTTTGCTGTCATGGACAGGAGACGGGTTACGGCTGGGCTTGTTGCTGTCGTGCGCACTGTGACTGCTGGCGCTGCCGAGGCGAGTTGATGCCACCACAGCTTTTACTGCAGCCTGAGAAAAAGAGGATCAAGCAAACATTCCTTAAAGGACATGGTCTGTCAGCACTGCAGCCTTAGCATCGTCCCGTTAGGGGACATAACTGCATTTAGTCTTCATGGTAATATCACATTCAGATACCTGTCTGGGCCTGGACAGATTTAGAAGGCCACCTGAAATACCGGACTGAGGTTTAAAATTGCTGCTTTCACAAGGTTACAAGTTGGCCAACATGAACAGAGGTTTTTTTTCAGCTGCACATGCTGTGGGTTTTTTTAGAAACTACTTCAGGTCTCCTGTGTTGAAGTTAGGTGGCAAAAAGAAAGTTATCTATCTTCTATCATAATAATAACAGTATTATCACTGATTATTCCATGAAAAGTTCACAAAGAGAAACGATATTTATCACTACTGCACTATTGCGTATACCAAGCACAATGGTGCAGAGCGTACAGGCAACTTCCTGTGTGTATATATAAATTTTGGGGATAGGCTCTCATATCACATAAAATGTTAGAAAAGGAAGACACACATTAAAACAGTTATCTTAGCCCTTGCCTTGAAGAGTTTTATTGCCTGAAAAAACACACATACAGAGGTGAGGAAAAGAACATTTCTTTGTGATCTCCTGGTCAGGGAATGTAATAGCTCACTCAGAAATAATGAAATTTATGACTCTGCTGATGCTCTGAAATCATTTTGATATAACAACATTGCATGGCATCTTCAATGAATACACAGAAATCCTGCTGTAAGGCTACAGAAATCTTTCTGAAGAGAACAATGTTAATAGACACATCTAGTCAGTTCTGCATGGGCAAAGCATCACTGTGAATTATATCTACAGTGTCTGAGACCTTTGTTAAATGACAAAACTTTTTTCTTTGCCCTGTAGAGATCCTCTGTCGCAGTTCCCTGAAATTTCAGTAATAATACTGAAAAAAAATGAGCAAAAAAAAGTTAAGGGTCATTGTTTGGGAATTTGGTTTTGCATGGGGGTTCTAAAGCTCTCAGACAAGATACTTTTTATTTTTATTCCCCAGGGCTACAAGGGCAGCTTCACTGTAGCTGTTGGTAATAATTTCTGTGCTGAAGTATCCCTGGAAGTCTCTCCTAAGCAGACACAAATCTTTAACAACTGAAGAAGGGATTAGGGGAGAAGAAAGTTTCCTGATGTTATGTCAGTTAGATGCCCAGCTGCCTGCTGTCTGCACCTAAAAAATGTTTCCCTGCTTCTTCCCATGGTAGATATGTAGACTGCATGGTAAAGGAACATACTGGTGACTCAAAACCTAATGTTATTTTCCACACGGGTCCCACCCACACTCCTGCCTTGCAGTGCTTAATTTCCAGATGAAGAATGCTGTTGCACATTTGCTCTCAGAGGTACCTGGAAATGCATGTTTTGGACCTGTTAATCTCAACCCACACATTTTATGGACCTACACATCTGAAATGTTGACTCTAGATCATACAGAAAGATGGCTTAAGTTCCTGCTTTGTATTGATAGGTATAGAAACTGAGGGTGGCTTACAGATCAATATGCTATAGTAGATTAGATATCTTCCAGATTTATGGATGCTCATGAAGAAACTACTCAGATTTTGTTCTTTGTGGTCAATACTCTAAGGATGTGCAAGCAATACAGGACAGATGGATGGACAGAAGCAAGGAAGGAAGAAGGGAAGAAAGGAAAGAAGGAAGGAAGGAAGGTAAGGAATTTGCAAAAGCTGTGTACATTCTCAGCAATTCTGTCTGTGTAGATAGAGTTTTCGATCAACCTCACACATTTTTATTTGTTTGGCTGCAGACATCAACTAAATCAGCTTCAACTTTTTCATCTTCCTCAGTCATCTTGAACAAAAAGATTCCATACCACTATGGAATGTTGTACTGCAAAGCGTGCAAGTTTTCTGTAAGGCTACTAGTTTAATTGCATGTTTTCATAGCCAAAACAGAGACTATGTCCAGAGACTTGCCTTAAGTTTACGCCGGGCATTGAATTCTTGAAGTTTCTTTTGTGCATTGTCCATATGTGCAAAGTTTGCTGCCTTCCCTGTGACCCATGGGTGCTGCAAAGCCTGTAGAGTGGTGAGGCGTTTCTTGGGGTCCAAAACAATCAACTTTTTAACCTGCATCACAAGGAAGAAATACAAAAGACTGTTAACCTTATTCTTCATTTACATTTACTGAGCTTTGTATTTTGGGGCTTTGGTCTTGGTTTGGGAAGCACCTTAGTGAAACACATTCTAAGAAACCGACAAGAATTTGCATTCAGGTCTTTGCACATATTTTGTTTCTGTCATTTATTGGTCCTCCATAAATAACATCTGAATAAGACAGCCATGAAGGGGGAAGAGAGGAGAAAAAAAATCAGCCGGTTACCAACATTTGTAAGAGTATGTACCAGTGCAGCTGGCCTGTATCTGCCATAGGCTGTTGTATGTCTGCATTGTCACATAAACCCTAAGAGATTCTCAAAATACCCCCAGCCAGGCAGTTCCCTTAGCAGTAACCCCACTTTTGGATTTGGACAAGGTTTAAACTGCATTAGAAAGTTTAAATTCTAGTGTATGCAACTCATGCGGACTTGTACCAATGCAGTCACTGCCAGGCACATCACAAATTAAATGTTTCTTTCAGTCACCATAAAACCTCATGTACACATGAACTAAAAAGTACTGTACAAGTATTTGTCTCTTAGCCCACTCTGAAACTAATGCTGTTTATGCCATTCTTTCTGTTACTGAGACCAGGGAAGCTGCACCTCTCCAAACATAACAGTAGGACATTTCTGGGAACAAGGCACTGCAGACATACCCCTGGGAGTGGAGATGGTACAAACTGCTGGGTACAAAGTGTGTCCAGTCAAGCTGCATTTCATGGGTTTTGCTATATGTCTGGACAAGTGGTGTTTTAAAAAAAATAAGGGTGAGGATGGAGTAAAGAAGGTACAGATGGTACTTAGCAGAGCTGCACCTACACAACTCTCCTGACTGCACACAGAGCAGAGTGCAAGTGACGGCACAGGGCTCCACTACTGCTACGTGCACAAGTGTGAGGGAAGGACTCACTATAGGGCTCTCTGAAATTTCCCTGAAAAGAGCTATTAAAGAAAGACAGTGCCCTGAAATGGGTGCAGGAGAACAGGCATCGTGATGAATACCCGCTGTGCATCCAAAGAAGAGGTCAAGTTAAGCAAATAACTTCAACTGAACACATAAGAACTGTCCACAGCATGGGTTTTTAGCGCCACGGGCTTCATCCTTATCTACAACTTGCTGTACAGTGTTCAAACCAGAAACTCTGAGCTTTACTGTAGCAAAACAGTAGGGACTGGTTTGGACCAAAGCTCTCTGTATACAATAAACAAGCATCTTTGCTGCAGGCTGCTGTTTATCTGGGTTTTGATGACAGAAGGCAGTAAATATTTTTTGAAGTTAGAAAAACTTCACATCTAATATAATAACAAAAAAGTAGTTTGAACTTCTACAGTTTTTCTGTTTGAGACATCCGGAAGTACTTCACAAACACTAATTATGTAGTATTTTATAGTATGGTTTGTATAAGTAATATGGAACTGAGCATTTGTGTCTTCAGTGCTAATGAAATAACTGAATTGTGCAAGTTATCGTTGACTAAAAATCAAACTCAAGCATACCTACCTTTTCAGATCAGTGTCTTCTGGATCCAATTTACTTTATCAAGTAATAAAGGAATACAGTGCAGATAGCACGCCAGGCCTTGCATTTTGTTAATGGACCACATTTAAAAGTAATGAGTCTTTCCTCATCTACTGAGAAAAAGCTTAAATGGACAGCAAAAGGCTGGCAGCAAAAGAGGGGGAGGGGGGCTTCATTCCTTTTTATTTTCTTCCTCCAAAGTTCAGACTTGAAAACTGCACAAAATATATGGCTTGTTTCTACGTTTCCCTGAAGGTGTTGCCCTGTAAAGAGGAACGATGAAACACCTCATAGCTATCATGAAAGGCAGGCATACATGAACACTGTGACAGCTGCCAATGGTCTGTGGCTTAGTTCACAGAAGGGCCTGAACATCCTTGGGTCTGAGTACAAAATTACAGCACTGGACTAACAGGGGATATTTAACAGCACCATAATATACCAGAGATAAGAAGAAGAAAAGCAAGTAGCCACATGAACAATTAATTAACCAATTATCCTGTCCCCACCCCAAAACGGACTCTCTTTCTCACTGGAACTGATACTAGCCAAATATGTATCAGCAAAGATACTCTAGTCTCATTTTTGCTTTACTTACTAAATCCTTGGCATTCAGAGACACGTCATCCCACCAGGGGGACACAAAGTCATATTCACAGTTCAAGATTCTCTTAAACATGTACTGATCTCCCCTTTCATCATAAAATGGTTCAAAGCCACAAAGTCTGCAAGGATAAAAAAGAAAGAAATTCATCAAAGATTAATTAGTCTTGGGCTGTTAGAAACAATTCCTGGTATTATCTTTCCCTGCTTTGTGTTGTGTACTCCACTTTGGGAAACCAGACCTGGATGTACTTATGAACTCCTAATTCTACAGAGCACAGCAAAATGTGGTCATAAGCATTCATAAGCACTGGGAAAGGCTGATCAAATTGTAAATTTTCCATTTTCACAGGTCTGTAATTGGAACTATTAATATGGAGACTTAACATAAGAGTAGCCATGCAACAGTTGATATCTGTTTACCGTCCACACGCCATTAAGTATTTTCTAGCAGCTCTATGCTCTGCTGGTCTCAGGCTGAAGTCCCTTGGACTATTTAGTCATTCCTCAGTCTGAAACTTTGCTCATCTCTGCTCTCTTCTGTGAGTCTTCTCCAGCTGTGTGTCCTTTTGAAGTGGGTGCAAACACCGTTCAGCGTGGGCACACCACGGAGTTGCAAATTAGGATAATTTTAATATTTTAATCTCCATTCCTGTGCTAACAATTCTTGACCTTGGATCTGCTTTTTTGGATTGTTTACAGCACAGAGTTAACATATTTTACCTGTGAAGTCAGAAGTTTTTATGTCCAGTTTTAATGTGTCCAGTTAGGACTGTTTTTTGATTAAGTTCATTGCTGTACGTTCTTTCATCCTATCATCCACAAAATGTAGAAACCTTTAGCAGGTTTTAATAACCAGCCCTCATCTTTACTTAGGTAACCTACATATTATCAAAAAATTTTGTAATCTCACTAATGACTGCATTTATGAATATATTGAATAACACAGATTCTGACACAGATCCACACTGCTGCCCCTAGGGAAAGCAAACTCATATAAGTGGTTTCCATTTATATAATGTCCTTTTTTGTCGCTTCATTGCACTTTAATCATGCCTGCACATGTAATCAGATGTTTTGAAGTGAACTCCCTATTCAACCAGTACGTGTTCTGAGCTGAACAGGAAGTCTATCTGCTACTCTGCCTCCAGAAAACGCAACAAGCAATGAGATGATGACAGGAAAAGAACACCAGACCATAAAGAACAAGACAGCAACAAATCTAGAAAATTTAACCTTATGTTTTAACTTGGTTTTATATTTTTAAACCAAATCAGTTCTTACTGTCCAGAGAAAGGAAACAGATATTCAAGGAAGAAATGTGTTTTTGAGAGTGGTGTGTAGCTGTGGGTGGAACAGCTGCATCACTTTGCACTGCTGAAAAGGAGAAAACCTTCCTGTAAGCACATTCTGGGTGTGTTATTAATTTCCAAGTCTGGCAGAGATGGGTTAAAACATAAGGATCCAGCCTTCAAATACTGCGTGCTTCTGTAGGTGGGAGCCAGTCACAGTCCTTCTGCTGCTCCCCTCCTGTTTGCCTGCCTCTCCCACCACCATTTCTGAGCTTGGGCCAATAACTATTTCAGCCAAAACTGGCTTCTGGATACCAGGAAACTGATGACATACAGTGAGACCATGCTTAAGGCTTGCTGTGACTCTGTTGGAAGCCTTCTAAGTGAGCCTCTATTTACTCCTAAAAATATTTTCATTGTAACTCACTACTATCACCTGTTGCTGTCTTATTAACAATTTCTGTGGATACGCTTCTACCTAAATAAAATTTCATTTCAGCAGACAGGTTAGATGAATAAAACTAGAGGTGTGATTTCAAATTAGATAAATTAAACCAGGGTAAGACCCAGCATGGCTGCTCTTGATTTCATTTAAACCAGGATTATGCTGGTTCATTTTAAATCAATTACTTACCAAATAAAGAAAAATCAGTGTAAACAGCTTCAAAACAATTAGAAATGACCAGACAGTGTTTTGTGCCCTTTTAAGTAAGCTAGTAAAAAAACACCTTTAATTAAATCCATGCAATTTTGACTACAGGCAAAGCCTCTGTATTTGTTGACCACTATCTGCATCTCAAATGTGCAGTAGCATTTCTAACCTGCTGCAGGAATACAAAAGGACTGGTCCTCTTTGCTGTTAAAACTATAAATGTGGCTTCCTTGGAGTTATGACAGTTATCATCAGTAGGCCTTAATATAATTTGCCTCAGGAATAATTGTTCAGTCAAAATATGTTCCAAAGTTTTTCTTAATCACATGGTAAGTCGACTTTGTATTGGTGAGAAGATACAGTTTTATGCACATGTCTTCTGTAGCGTGGTAGCTCACTCTTAAATCCACTCTATTTTGGAGGCATATACAACAATGTATTTTTTTGACTGTACATAAGTGCATTCCCTCTACTAAACGATGAGACTGAGACATGTAACACTGTCCTTTAGGCTGCAGGATTAATCAATTAGTTACTGTACATGTACCTTTCTGATCTCAGCTTCTAACCCATCAGAAATGTTGACCTACAAAGCTTTGCACTCAGTAGAAGACTTTTAAATGTGGGGTATTATTAAAGCTAAATGGAGGAGCTGGCCAAGTGGATTTAACTAGCACTCTTTTTGCCTGGCTTGCTCCCACAGGTCAAACTGGATTTTGAGAGGGGAGGAAGAGAGGAAGAGAAGGAGGAAATAGAGGAGTATCTGTACTGGCGGTGTCCCAGAACAGGAGCTCACACGCTTGTGTTTACACCAGTGAAGAGTTTTAACGTGGCTTGGGAGCACCTCCTGAACAGCTGGAAGGTTTTGAAAGGCTGCATATAGCAAATGCCACTCCATATATTCAAATAGGAATTTGCTGGATGTTCTCACTTGGAGCTCTCCTACACTTGAAAGCAAGTTCTGCTTAGGGAAGGCTCTCAGTTTCAAGTACAACAGCTGTCCCCCAGTTGTTGAACAACCAGGCAAGCCCATGGCTTAATCTGGGTATCTTTGTAAAGGGACAACAAAAGGCACCTTTCCAATCACAGAGACAGCCCTGCTGGCAAATTTCACATCTCTCTGCCACGCATGGACCACTAGAACTGATGAGAAATGATCACCTGGCAGGCAATATCTGAGATGTGATCTTCTACAGACTTGAACCAGGCCTTGAGACAAAGATTCACATTTTAAAAGGAGCAGATGACAAAGTGGCAAATAGGAATATTGTAGCCTATTATTTACAGGCACCCAAAAGAAGACCTGTGACTTATTTGATGCTTGTGTACAGAGCAAAAGATGTTTTCTGATATTTCCATCAGAGTGTTTATGCATCCTTACAAGTACTTTTAGTATAAACTCTAGAAAATATAATTCTTTGCAAAAGACATAATGAGTCCTAGAAGGGGAAAGAAAATGGCCCAGGTGTATAAAATCCTCCATATCTTTAATGTATATGTGTAAAATCCCATTTTCTTCACATAAAAGGCATCCTGCAAGTATTGTATACAAGTACACAAGCTAGCTTAGCATTAGTGTTGCCAAGGAAATAAATGAAGTTATTTATTCTCCCATAAAGAGAAGTGTCGATACATCAGGTACAATTTTCCCTTCTCAAAAATCTTCCTTTGAAAGATTCCATCAATACAATAAAATAATTACAATGCTTACCAATTGAATTAGGACTAGCCATATAAAGATGCAGACACAAGTGCCTACTGTTGGACACAACTGTTTGAAAATTTTGGTGTACAGTTGCAACTTCAACTGTTTAAAATATGTATGGCCAGCATCGCTCACAGTCCTCTGTCAACAGTGGCTCTGGTTATTTTGTAAGAAGTGGAATGCTTCAATATTAATCATTTAACCCATTGGACTGATTTGCAGACAGAGAGTCCAGGGCTGTTCCCTGCCTCTTGGCTGAGATGCTGTGAGACAGCAACACTGATGCTGCAGTGTCTGTGGCTGACACAGACGGGGCAGCTGCATTTGGGAATATTAACAGGCACTGTGAAACTACTGCAAGCACCCTGCCCCATCTGTAGTTGAGAAGCTACTTAGGATCATAGTATATCTCACAGTTTGTGAGAATGAGAAAAAAAATATATGATGTTTTCTGACACTCGTATGCTTGTACTTTTGCTTTCAGCAGCTTTGCTGCTATTCATTCACATTAACAGCATGATTCTGTGCAGACCTTGCTGCTGTTCAGGAAGAAGTGTTATTTATCAAATATATAACCTGAGTGTTTTGCCATGCTCCACCAGGATTTGACTTACTGAAATAAGATTAGGAATATCATAATTAATTAAGTTCATGATCTTGTGTTTTCCAACGGCACAGCTCATAATGTCATAAAAACCTATGGGTGCTCACAAATTAACCACTCCATGGCACTTACAGGATGTAGGTGATAATCCCCAGCGACCACATGTCCACCTCAGGGCCGTAGGCACATCCCCGTAATATCTCTGGTGCTGCAGATGATAAAACACTTGTCAATAAGATGAAAGTGGAATGCAGAAATAACAGTCACAAAGTCAATTTAAACTCCGTGCACACTCATAAATGTCTTTTAAAAAGTAAGGGCATGGTCCTTTAAGCCCTTAATTAGGCAAATGATTGCCTTCACTGAGTATAAAGCAACATTAGTCACGTCCAAGTACAGCCAGCATAAAATGAAAAGCGGGCTTTGGTTTCAAATTGCTTTTTAGGTTTACGGTTCTGAAAGGAACCACAGAAAGCTACAGCAGCACTGGAGCTGCAATGTGACAAAGGAGTTGGTACTTTCACTTCAGTATTGTACTTACTTACTTGGTACTTTATTTGGGCTTTATTTTTGGTATTCTGTTTTAATTGTAAGGTAAGACAAGACCATTTCAGGCAATTGCTTTTGCTGCAGTGCGGAGCAGGCAGAAAGGCCAGGCAGTCTCAGGGGACTCTGGCTCTGCAACAGTAAAGAGGAGTTAATCTCTGCCCAAGCAGCTTGACAAACACACCTTGAGGAAAGCTGAGCAGACCGCTGTATCCCTCAGACAGTATGTGTTGCTGTTGTGTGTGACTAAAACTGTGCACAGCTGCACACTCAAATGGTGACGTGCCTCCCTCAAGCACCCTCAAGGTTTGCCTCCAACTGGGCAAACTCCTTGGGCAAAGCTCTTGAGGCAGCAGGATGAAAACACCACATCTCCAGAGGAGGAAATGGAAGTGTTTGATACTGGGGGATGTAAGACCCTTCCCTCTCTCACCTTTTGGCCACAGACAAAAATACCCAACTAATTTGGAAAAACTACTTAAAAAGACACTGCTGAGTCACACTTCCACTTATCAGCCCTTCTTCTCAGCAACCATTGTAACTGTATTAATATCCATCAGATGTACAGGATGGCAGCATAGCCCCTGAGCCCACTGGCTCTACGATGCATGTGGGATGGCTGCCACACTTCTGAGGCACGGTGGACTTGCTGCATGTACGTGCATCAATGCTGCAGCACATTCACCTTCCCACATTACACGTTGACAGCCAGGAGCAGCAGGGCCAAGAAAGACTGGGACTTCCCAAAAAGTATGACAGCTCCCTGCCCAGCCTGAAGCTTTGGTTGCCTGTCCAGACTGACCCAGGCTGCTAGCATGCTCCTGCTTTGCTCCCAGCCTTTGGAAGGTCTCCGCTGGGGCAGCTAGCTCTCCTGAGGAATGTGCTGCAACATCCCAGGGGAGCAAGGCTCCCCCAAGCATGATTTTAATCAGAGTATACACAACTCCCTTACAGCCTCCAGGCAGCTGGCTCAGACTTCTTCAATTTACCTGAAGGATTTACCATGCAGAGAACACATCAAGCATTTTTACAAAGCATTACTATAGGAGGCAAAGGACGTTAATCACTGTTTGCTACGTACCACTTGTACAGCTGGGAGCTGGGCAAATGCTTGCCAGTCCAAGCACAGACTTCCCTTGTCTCCTTATTCTTCTGCTAGGTAAACAGAGAGGGGCTGTTCTTGAGAAGGGACACTAGATCCCAACTGATTTTAACTCAGGTCAACCCGTAGCTAACAGGACAGCCTACAGGCAAAGCAGCCAATGGCCTCAGAGAAAGAGATGGAGGTAGACCAAGAAGACAGATGTTAACCACTGTTCTCCTTGCCATATTTGTTAACGCCATGTGGGAGGTTCTGAAGTAAATAGGAAAGTTTTTCTGTTTAATGGCCAATATGCTTCCTCTTCTAGAGAATGTAATGTTTCTTGGGATGCCTTCTTGCTCAGGATAAGGGCAGAAGACACTTTCTGCCCTTCTTTTGCTTTTCTCCTCCTTCCACCTCAGTATTTTAAAATGGCCACAAAGGAGACCAAAGATTTGTATATACAGGTCTGCCTTGCTATCTAGACTGTGATTACACAGTTATACATCTTGTAAATATGATTTTCTAATACTTCCAGAAGTTTGCTTTTGGTGAATGGATTTGACTGATACGTTGCAGCTAGTTCAGATGTTGGCTGTAACAGAATGATCATGAATCACTGCTCTGCACTGGCTTATTTTTATGTGGTACTGTCAGAAATCACTTATGCTTTTCTTTTTAAGTTCACTGAAAGCACAGTGGCTCGGGACGTTAAGTTCTTTGTGATCATCTTCTTGCTGTCAGTCCTCTGCATCACTTTGCATGTCCCAGGGGCTGTAGATTGGTAAGTCTTGATGCCAAAGTATCCAGACTCCAGTATGTGTTTTTGTTGTTGTATCCTTTCTGGAGAAGCTGCTGATAGCTGGGTAGGCAGGATGTGGGATTTGGCAGCCTGTGACTATCAATTATTCATAGTTTAATTTGGCATTTCAACAGTATTCCTCCTGGGTTTCCTCCACTTCTAGAAAGCAATGCTTGAATATTTTCTAGGCACCAGGAATTCTGCACGGTCAGTTAACGTGGGTTGTCAAAAAAAGATTGCAGGTCCATGTCTGTACGCACAAAGCTTCTTTCTTCTCTTCTCAGCACAGACATTAAGCCTCAACCCTCCCCACCAAGTCGTCCCTACTCTGAGGGTTCTTCTATGGCAATAAGCCTTATCCTACTTTTATAGTATACAAAGACAGGCATAAAAAGGGCTAAATACTAACTACAGTTTCATGGTATTTGTAGTATAACTGTCATGAGAGAAGACAACCAGAACATTAATAGCTAATACGTGAAGTACCATTTTATGAAACTAAGCAGACTGGAATTCAGTGCTACTCTAAAGCATACTTGGCACCTGTGTGTGCTTGGCAGAGAATGTCATACAAGGTAATGGACATGTCACCTGAATTGCATTATCAGCTGTGCTACAAGGTAACAGAGTAATCTTATGTTCTTCTCCAGTGTCCTCTTTTCTTTGCTTCTACAGTTATAAAAGCAAATGCCAAGTCTTTAGCTTCCACATGGCTTGGCTCAGCTCTGTCCAAAACTACCTCATATGCTTACCATCCAGCACACTGCTAGCAACTTGCAGCCTCTTGTAGGAGCCCATTTAGGATCTAGAGTTCACCAAGAATGGCAGAAATAGGTGTCTCCACAAGATCACATTGGTTGCTGGAGGTGAGCATCCACCATGGGAAGCGCAGCAGGCTTGCCCTGGTGCGAACAAGATCACCAGCCTCCGTGGCCATTAGCGGGTTTGCTGACACAGAAGTGCCTTGCAATGAAGGGCGAGCAGACTGCAGAGGCAGCTGCAATCGTCTTTTGCTGGAGGGGCTCCTTCTTTTGCATGTTCTGGCACTGGAGGATCCATTTCTGGCTCATTTTCTGGTTCTTGGCATCCAGAGGAGCTTCTGTGTGTGTCCAGGAGCTAGCTGTCTCTGCTCTGACAGCGAAACTGTGCCCAAGGGTGCTGTACTGGGAGCCCAACAGCACGCTTGGGATGCCCTGCTGAAAGCTGCCAGGCAGTCTGCGAGGCTTCATCCAGCTGCTGGTTGCTCACTCAGCCTTGCACGGCACGGTGCCGCCACAGGAAACTGAGCCAGAACCCTCCAGGGGTCTGCCCTGCTCCACAGACCACCCACCCGCGGGCAGGTGGGAGGCTCTCCGCAGGGACGGAGCATCCGACAGGCCCGTGCTGCTGTCCCCTCCAACCTGGGGACGCCGCTGCTGAAGAAAAGTCTGCTGTGTGCAGGGAACAGCCAGGCTGGGCACGTCCTGGCCTGCAGCAGGACGAGCTCCTGCCGCAGCCCTGTGGGCAGAGCAAAATGCTCCAGCTCCACCAGGGAACGGCTGCTGGGGCTCGGCAGCATCTTTTTAATTATTTTTTTCAAGATCAGTTGTATGCTTGCTTTTTCCCTGCTGTGTCAGGTTATGTGCTTGAACTCTGTTTTTAGATTTTGTATTTTTTGGGGGGTGGTTTTAGTTATATCCTCTTTGGTTTACTGATATCTGACATATAGACAGCTATGGAATTTTTTGCCAGATGTTATGTGTATGGCAGTTGTAGTGTTTACTCTGCCCCACTTATTTTCTCCCAAAGCAATGGAGAAAAATCCTACGTTCCTAATTATTCATGGACTGTTACCAGTACTATGTTTTTTCACTTGCTTATCAAAACCTCACTGTCCTATATGACAGTGAGGGAGCATATTTTTACCCAAATGCAATTCTATAGAAATTTGTTTTAATTTGAAGTACCAGTGGTGGTTTTCTTGCATTCAAATTAGATGCCTTCCATTATTAAAAGCTACAAGACCGAGAAGCATGAACTAGCTGTGATTTTGGAAAAAACAGAAACATGTAAGAGCATGACAACTGAGACGAAACAGTTTCTAAACTTTCTGCACATCTTCCACAGTTAAACAAGTAGAAAGTGTCCTTAAAGGCCACCAACTGAAAAATATAAACCCAACACCATTAAGTATATAATTTCCTAATTTCTAATTTCTAAAGGAATTAAAAATACCATCGTCGTGTAATACACTGCTAAGCTCACAAGTTAGATATTTGCTCAGAAGTCATCCATAAACTCATGCTTGTTGAAGTATTGTGAATGTACAGGCAAATTAGTCATTTTGGTAAGCAGCAGTTCATGCTGACTCTCTCGCTTGGTAAAATTGAAGCAAACCTATGATTTCTTTCTTATTTTGTTTAGGAGAAAAGAGTATGAGTTAAAAGTGCCAAAGCCTTTTTACTGCTGAAAGAGATGACTAGGCCTAGACCAGTCACCCCAGTTGAAAAGCTCTGCCACAAAGTGCTCCTTGATATTACACTCATAATTCTGTTATACAGGTCCCACTCCAGCGTGGACCAGAATGGCCTGAGTCATGCCTGCATTTAAAACCATGTATTTGCTGAAACTTTTCGGGTTTAGGGGATTAATTTATGACCCTACTCTAAGGATTTCCTCTGTTAAAAAAAATCAAGATAAATTCACTGTAAGCAATATTCAAATATGCATAATTGTTATGAACTCTATAAATTTTTAGTGTTTTCCATTATGCCTTTCATAGTCCAAATTTGTGCTGATGCCTCTCCAGTATTATTTTAGTAATTTCAGCATTGTTATGGTGGTCGAACTTATTTCCATGCAAGTAATGAACTTGCACCATAACATGTTTTGAATATTAAGCTTCAGTGCTAGAGAATATGAGTTTAGAAAAATTTAACCGAGTGACAGTTCTGAATGTTAGTTTTCTATTTCCGCTTTTTTGGAGCTTTTTGAATTTTGACTTTAGGAAGAAGCATTTCACCTTGAAAAGAGAAAATGTAACACCCTCACATTAAGTGCAGCATACTGTAAATAAAAACAACGTACCACAGTACCCTGGAGTTCCACAAACTGTCTTCATGGTCACCTGATCTTCCACAATCTTGGAAAGTCCAAAGTCAGCTGTTAAGATGGTTCAGGAATATTAATGTTTTAACTTCCTTGTAAAATCACTTTTTGTTTTTTTTACATTGTATATGTAATTAAATGAACATTTATGCATTAAATAAACAGTACTGTCATTTCCAGAGATGAGGATCAATTTGAAGAACCTACCCAGACTGCAACCCAGAAGCAAAATTTTTCTGTAGAAATGAATACTCCTGGCTCTTGCTTAACAGAAATGTAGCTTGCATTTTTCAGAAGACAGCACAAACCCAATACAATGGAATGCCTAAGGGCATACAAGCAGTGATCTGGAAATGCATTTTAAGTATATATTCAGCTTTCACTCTGTGAATAATCCAATAAAATTAAGTGAACAATTTTGAGTTAAAAAATTGTGCATCAGTGGTTTGTTGGATAAGGGTCAGAGTACGCAGTCCCTGCAAGACAAAATCCCAGCAGTATTTTCATAGAGGGCTTCCAGGGGGATGGAGGTTGTGCCAGGAGAAGTACTGATCATCCTTTTTGCAGTGTTTTCACCCTGAAGTACTACTCAGACAGCAAGAGCCTTCATGACGTTACATGTCGTACTTGCATGAGTCACTTTTTAAAACACATAAAAACTGAAATCATCACAACTCTTTTAGTTTTCACCGAGAATAAACTGAGCTTCTTCAAATTTCAATTTAGGTGATGACAATCTGGCCTTAAAAATGCAAAATAAAAGTATTTTTTTTTGTTTGAGTGAATATAAAGGGAATGTACTGACTCAAGATCAGGATACAAATAGTTCATATTTTATTCTAGAAATGCATAGTTAGGGTTCACTTGTCCCTAGGCGGTTATCATTTATGTGTTATGTATTGCATCAGAAATAGTGTGGCCAGCAGGACTAGGGAAGTGATAGTGCCCCTGTACTCGGCACTGGTGAGGCCGCACCTCAAGTACTGTGTTCAGTTTTGGGCCCCTCACTTCAAAAAGGACATTGAGGTGCTGGAGCATGTCCAAAGAAGGGCAATGAAGTTGGTGAAGGGTCTAGAGCACAAGTCTTACAAGGAGCGACTGAGGGTGCTGGGGTTGTTTAGCCTGGAGAAAAGGAGGCTTAGGGGAGACATTATCACTCTCTGCAACTACCTGAAAGGAGGTTGTAGCGAGGTGGGGGTTGGTCTCTTCTCCCAAGTAACAAGCAATAGAACAAGAGGAAATGGCCTCAAGCTGTGCCAGGGGAGGTTTAGGTTGGATATTAGGAAAAACTTCTTCACCGAAAGGGTAGTCAGGCACTGGAAGAGGCTGCCCAGGGAAGTGGTTGAGTCCCCATCCCTGGAGGTATTTAAAAGATGGGTAGATGTGGAGCTTAGGGACATGGTTCAGTGGTGGACTTGGCGGTGCTAGGTTAACAGTTGGACTTGATGATCTTAAAGGTCATTTCCAACCTAAATTATTCTATGATTCTACGATTCTATTATTCTATTATTTATCTAAACAGAAATATACTTTACCGTTATAAACACTGCCACTTATTGTAAATCAGATCTCACTTTAAACAAGGCAATAATCTTAACCAGAAGATGAAGAATCACAGCATTTGAGGAAATGCTTCAGAAGCCCCTACACCACTCTGACTGTCAACCACGGCCACTCAGTGCTGCATTAAACTACCACATTACAGCTGTTCAGAGCCTTTCCAGGAAAGATAGGAACAAAGATAAAATGTAAATTGAGATACCATCATCCTGAGATGCAAGACTTTCCTAGAAATTTACATTAAATTGCTTGAGACTAGTTTGTGGAAATCTGGCTCCTGAAACCCACGATGAGCACTGGCCTGACAAATGTGGCAACACTCACTCCTTGCATGCTCCCATGCTCCCCAGTAAGGGAGCACAAGGTGGTATTTCCAAACTGGTTACATACAGCTCAGGAGTGTTGCACAAAGCTCCTCTTTGATCAAGCAAAAACTGGACATACCCATTTTTGGAGGTCATGCCCTTTGCAAGTGGCTGCCATCCCCAACAGAACGGGCATAATACATCCCCGTTCAGGAGAGCCTGGTCTCACCTTGTCCCTCCTCGTCCCCCCTGTGGTACTGACTGTGCTTCAGATAGCTTCCCTATTCTCTTTGCGATTATCCCTCAAATCTGTCTTCAAAACAGAAGTCAGCCTTGCTCAATTTGCTTTCTACCAGTTACCTGCACATTTCTACTTTCATGCCAATGAATATTTCCTCTTAAAGTACTAGTTTACCAAAAAAAAGGACACAGAAGTGGTGCACACAGCTGTACGCTGATCTCATGATTCTTCCTGTTCCTCCTGAGTGCTTTATTCTCTGCCACATTCTGCACAGTTTTGACTATAAATTCTCTAAGCAATCATCTAGTTTTTTATTGGTTTTACAAACACCATGCATAGCTGCACTGCTGAAGAAGTAACATGCTGTTCATTTGAGTACAAGCATTAGCTTTGAACAAAGTGGTGGTGAGACTGTAAACATCAGTTAGCACATATTACTGGTACAAAGGAATTAGGGAAGCATACATTTAATGCTGCTCACCAATTTTTAGTGGTGCATCTGGTGCTGGCGTTGCATAGAGTAGATTTTCTGGCTTCAAGTCACGATGCACAATGCCATTTGCATGCAGGTACTAGAAAAAGAGGAGGTCAAAACATTTAAGTGAGAATAAGATATTACGGTCAAGCATGAGTCAACATCTTCCTAATAATCCATAGCAGCAGATCAGTAATCTGCCATGTGTGTGACACAGAGTCACTTTTAGCTAATTTTCAGCAGCTTTTTTTCTGGAAACCTGCTCAGCATAGGATCCTTGGATGCATATTGTAATCTGAATATGAAATTAAAATTCGGGAAGGCAAAGATAGCATCATATCCATTTAAGAAGAAAAACATCTCAGAAAGTATTATTGACTTTTTAAATACAGTGGTAGCTTCTAGGAAGTAATCTAATAGGTGTTGAGATACCAAAGTCTGGCTCAGAGGAAGGTAGCTTCTGCATATTATAACATTCTGAGAGATAAGAAAATGGTCATACAACTATTAGACTATTAAATAGACACCTTTGAGTAGAAAGGATGCAGTATGTGTCCTGGGCCAACTACAAAATCCTTGAGGTCTCTGGAGAAGACTTCTCAAGGGTTTTAAAACTACCCAGCAGCAGTCTCAAAAATCCATCTGTCTTCCTGCAGTACATGCAGTCCATGTGAATTCACTCACCACTGAATTCTTTTAAAGATGTTGTTCCTGCCTTGCACTAATGGAGAGAAGAATTTCTGGGCTGTATGACTGCATCTTATACTGCTATAGACAGACATAGAAAAAATATATAATATACTCATAGACAAAAAAGGATAACTAGTGAAACAAATTCTGTATTTCTTGTTGATAAAACATTCAGCAGAAACCTCTGAAGCCTTGGAAGAAAGATGCTTAAGCGTAGAATCACATTATCTTATTTGAAAACCTCCTGGTCTACATTTTAGTTGCATCTCTCTCAGCTGTGTTTTCATTATTAAAAAAACCCGCATGTGTGCACTGTTATGCAGCAAATGACTAATGGTTGAATATTCATCTGGAAAGCACAGCTACAGTGTTCACTTGAGTTAGCATTTGAGATGAATTCTTGACTGTGTATCTCATTGGAATTTTAGTTTGTATAAGTTGCCAGTGATTAAATAACATTAAGTAAGAATACATTGCTCTCTCCCTGGACATTGTTTTAGTGACACTGAATGCTTTTTAAGTGTGTGTTTCTTACAGTGCAATAAATGTTTTTTCTTAACTTTCTCTAAAAGCCTAAAGTGGCAGTATTTCTCAGGATGTGGTTTGTGGAGATCAGCCAAAGACTCTCATCTGCTTTACTTTATAGTGAAATCTAAGTGCTTGTCCCAGTTGTGTTTTCTACAATGAGGTAGCTAATCAGTTATCCAAGGTAAAAACTGGCAACAATATATGGAAACTGATGGACTGCATGCTCCTACGTCATTTAATGCAGTCACAACTGCATGGCTGCACACAATCATGTCCATCCTGGATAAAAATATATTTTTCCCAGCCAATGAAGACATAACTGTAGCAAAGATGCTCCCACAGCATAACACTGATGTGTTTGCCATGCAGAGGTAATAGCAGCACACAGGGAGTGCACTAAAAGCAATCAAGTTGGAGTGGACAGAAAGAGATGTCTGAACTGATCTGTGTTCATGTGCTGCAAATCAGTTTAGCTGACTCTGCAGGAGTGAGAAGGATCATACACTTCGCGATCACTCGGTGGAAAGCAGACACTTCCGATTCATTTGTACAAAAAAACTTTGAATGAATTTGTGCAGAGAAATGTTCCAGCCAAGTCTGCAGTCTTTTAGCAGGTCCTTTTTCACACATGCCCGTAATCTTAAAAACATTTTATGGTATAAGGTTGAAAACATTGAAATTTTCTTCTCTTCCCAGAGTCATATTTTTGTGGGAAGGAAATTTGGGAAAAACTGGGAGAAGCTGTTCAGCTTTTCCTCCTTTAAGTCATAAAGTGCGGCTGGCTCACAGGGCTCCTTCTCAGACATAGCAAGAACCATAACGAATGACATCCGATAACCATGCTTGTGCTTCATGACTGACTGACTTTTTAACAGATTTGTATTGAACTTGCAGTGTGAACTCTTTTTTTATTACAAACTCATAAGACCTCATGTGGGGAAATTTACCTCCTCTGCCCAGCCCACCCTTTGCAGGAAACACTCACAGGATGGGGGTGCCCAACAAACATGAATTCTCTCAATAACCTAGCCCATGTCTTTCAAAGACTACCACTGCAATGCCCTGAGCTCTCTCTCTTGTGTCCCGGCCTCACAACACCTGCAGCTCCTCCTACCCTCCTCTTATCTCCCCAGCATCCTAGCCCAGAATTCCTGCTCACCCATAGAATCTCCTCTGACCTCTCCCTGCAGTCCACATAGATCCTGTCATGGTTGCTACAATCCCTAATCTTAGTCCCTGCTGCTCTGTCCTCTCTCTCCCACCATTTATTTTGCTTGACTTCATGTCTGGGCACAAGATGATTCCTGTGGTGTTCAGACCAGCCATGCATGTGGCTGGAGCTGCCTCGAGCTGCCAGGTTACAGGTTTAACAGATCTTCTGTTGGCATCTCGTATCTTCAAGACCTGGCCTTCTGTCAAATTTTGTTGAAGTTGGCCAATAGGGTCAATAGTTTTGTTGTAAAGTAACGATAAAAGGGCAAAAAGGGACAAAAAAAGCCCCAGTGTTTTCACTGATGCAGAAATCCCATTCTTCAACCACACAAAAGTACCAGCTAGCCTTGTGGATCCCCAGCCCTCCAAGCAGAGAGACCACTGGCTGGACTTCTGTAAAAGGTATCTGCCTCGAAACAGTGTTGTTACTGAAGGTCTCCACCACACGCAGTGACCTCCTGTCCTTCAGCCTGAGCCACCTGTCATTCACTGAGTGCGTCTCCTGCTCCACAACCTGCTATGAACAGGACCTTGCTAGACTCTGTCCATTTTCAGCATTGCCCCCTTACTTCGTAAATACCCTGGGACTTGTTTGCAAATTTTCACTGGTCCCAACAGCTCTGCTCCCCAAGTAGCATAATAGCTCCTGGTATTGAAGACTATTTGATAATTACATTGTCTTGTATATATGTGAACAGTATTCTGAGTTAAACTATCTTGAGTTAGAAATGGATTTAATTAAATCAGCACAATCCACTTTGTATAACACTTATTTCAATTTATATATACTCTATTTTGGTTGCTGTTCACTTTATTTCTCACATATTTAAATAAACAGCATGTTCCTTTGCAGGCAGTGCCTCTGCAGCATAAGTTCAAAGATAATTCTTTCTCTCTCCCAGTTTGGAGTACAGCTTTGGGCATTGTGTACTCTCACTGTAAAACAGACAACCTGTGCTTTACTGTTTATATGCTATGTCTCTTAATGGCTAAATGATGTGATTAAATGAGAAGATCAGGGCCCAGTATCAAACCAGAGCAGTGTACTGACTCACTTTATGATCACATTGCTGAATTACATCACTTTCCCCACCTATAAGATATCGATGAGACCTGAAAAAGACTTGAGCCGTTTTTAGATGCACAGTGCTGTATAACAGTTTAACACAGCATGCACATAAAATGTGATCATGACATGATACTCTTAGAGTAGCTAAAATGTCCTGTTTTCACTTTCTTCTGATTTTCAGTAGACAGTGTTAAGCACTAAAAGAAAATAAAGGCATGGCAAGTCCTCTGATTGCAGCTTTGCTAATTTGTGTTAGTGAAATAAGGTGGATACCGAAAATTCATATTTACATCAAAAATCTGTATTTCCATGGCAACATCACATGGATATATTTAGTTCTAGTTATGTCCTGTAACATCTATGTACCAAAATGTAAGATTTACTTGTAGAATAACAGCAGTTGGTCTGGCCTGATGAGATGTAGATGGAAGAGAGGCCTCCACAGGATCTCACAGCAAGGCCTGTGGAAGTAGATCTTGTGGAAAAAGTCTTCTCCGTGCATGGCAGTTTCATCCGAGCAGCTGGCCAATGGCACGAGGAAGAGAAATTATGTACCTTCCCCTCTGTTTTTTTTTTTTGAACACAACATCAAGGCAGGTGCTATAAATAGGGACAGTACTGGTTTTAAGGAACATATGGCTATTCCATTTAGCGAAAGAGAATGAACAAGAAAAAGTAAAATGGAAACACTAGAGACCCTGAGCAGTCTGTATTAAATTAATGAATTTAGATGCAAAGGAAATAGAATAAATACTGAAAAAATATATTTGCCCATCCTGTGATCACACTTCTTTTTCAATTGCTTTGGCCAATGAGATGTAAGTAGGCCAGGTAGGTGAATCGTCTGTGCTTCAGGCACACAGTAGGGTACTACGTTATTAGTATAGAGCATCTCAGATAATCTGGGAGAAATGTATTCGAGCAAAATTGAGTATGATAGTCTTATTACTCTTTGATAAATGTTGAGGACAGACTCAGCATGACACTAGGTGGGAATAATACACAGGCCCTTTTCTGAAAGACTTATCCATTAAAATAAAGGCAGCCTTCATCTTGGCCTTTATTCCCATGGTACACAACAGCAACTCATGACTGAACAATTGCTGTGACTTTAATTGTGACTGCAGCAGGAAGACTTTTTTTTCTTTTTCTTTTTTCTTTTTAAGCTTCTTTCTAATTGCTGCCTGAGAATTCCTTTAGCTCTTTGTTTTATCTTTTAATAATTCAGGTTCCTATCTAACTTGAAAGATTTTATGACAAAAGGACAAATGAAGACTGCTTAAAACTATGGCCTTTTTCCTTTAGGGCTGAAATGAACCTGAATCATCTACTCCTCTCTATGCTCCTAGGCAGCATCAATTATCTCTACAACAGTTGTTTGTCCAATTTATGCTTAAAGACCTCTGATACTAGAGACTCCACCATTTCCCCAAGCAATTTATTATGGGGCTGTGATATCTTGACAATTAGAAAATACTTCCCTGTGACTTACCTGGATCTTGACAGGCGTATATGAAGACCATTACTTTGTTGCTTACACACCATGGAGGCAGAAAGCAGATTATTCACTTTTTTGCAACAGCCTTTTGAGTACTTGT